CCATTACTCCCTATATTTCCCATTTGTAAGTTGGAAAGAAGAGCCAGCTAGAGAGTAGAGTACTTCAAAGATCAATCTGTATGAAAACTTTAAATTTCTTCCTCAGGGAAAGAAAAAAAAAAGGCTCATAATCTTTCTTTAAACTCTATATGCAGTTCAGGAAATCATGTTGGTAGAAAAACCCATAACCATTTTAGCTTCTATTCTTGAAATGGACAAGTCATTGGGAGCCTACCTGCTCTGTGGCATTTAGACAGGACAGGGTGATCTACACTGTGCCCTTCCCAACTGCAGGGGAGAGTGGCTCTCAGCCTTGGAAAACAGAAATAGCAAGGGCCATTGATAGACACATAGATCAAGTTACGAAAACAGTTTGCTTTTTTTGAAAACAAAAGTTGAACTGAAACCATTCCCACCTTGGGCCACATTGAAAGGCTTTTGTTGGGGGGCTGGGTATTTATTTTTGTATTTCTTCCCGAGCAGGTGAGAATATTTGGGAAGTAGCAAGTTCCACTTGTCTACAAATTCCCTTGGGCCACCTGTCTTTTTGTGGAAGCCCTTGGCCGGGAGAGCAGAGCGCAGTGCTCAAACACCCTGCGAGGAGGCAAGTGGAGAGCGCACGCATGCCAAGGTCACCTCCTCGGTGGCGCGTGGCACATCCCAGCTGCACTGCCGTGAAATAAAACCTCCCCCTCATGGAAGACACCACTCATGGTTTTTTAAGAGCTATAAAAATCCAGAACAGGCATAGATGAACTAAAGCAGCTCACAGAGAAGAGCTGCGTATCGGTCCTGGTGGCGGGTGTCTGAAGGGCATGGAGGCAGCAGGACAGCAAAATGCCCGGGGCAGAGCTGGTTATCCCATTTCAGCTCCAGTCGCCTCCAGGTCTGTACGAGGGCAGTGCAGGTGGTTCGCAACCAAGGAGTCACTCAGCACCTTGTGAGGGAGCAGCAGGGCCCGTATCGAGAGGCGCAAGTGCCATAAGGAAGCTTTTCCTCATGACTTACCCAAATCTCCCTTCTTGACATTGTCATCACTTTCTGTTCTTGCTAGAGTGCGCTAGAAAACTGATCATGAAACTACTTTTTCCCACCATTTTATATATTTATCTCCTTGTCCCTCAGTCCTTCATTTCCTCGACACGGGACAAATCAGGTTCTTTCAGGCGTCCCTCTCCAGCCACATTTCCCTGTTGTGTCCCTGGAGAGCACAACCCTCACCTGCCAGCCGGCTGGGAGATCCAGCTCCTTAACCCATCTGGGCTTACCCACCTTCTGGCCTCTCTATGCAGAGCTACTACACTGGGAAGCTGGTAGGAAGCCCCTGCTATCTTGCACTACAAATGGAAACCTCAGCAGCAGTGGAGCCGGATTGGGGTGTGTGGTGTTAACAGAACAAAGCCCTGCCAAAAAAAGCCCTAATTTCTATTTACAGGTCAGAGAAAAAAAGATACCTGGGTATTTTTGAGGGTCTAATATTACCATCTAGTGGTAATCACCTAGGGCTACCACGCTGAGAACATTTTATAGTGGATTTATAGCAACTTTCTTATCTCATGAATAAACTTTGTTTAAGAGATGGGCAGTTTAATCTGATATTTTCCAGTCTAAGGACTTCTCCAGTTCTAATCTTCTTCCTAGGATAGATTCCCTTTGTTGTATGGAGAAAAAAAATTGCTGTGAAGCAGAGCTGGTCTCTAACACATCAACAAAACGTTTTCAGATGCACAGCTGTACAACACCATCGAGTATCGTTACCCACACATCACAAAAGGACCGGAGAAGAAAAATGAAAGGCATAATTCTTGCAAACATATGGAAAATGTTATCCAAATAGCAAAAAGCTGACAACACTATACACACAAACTTACAGCTAAACTTTGGTCTCTCTATAGCCATTGCTAGACAAGAAGGGGTAAGGTTTTTTGTTTTGATTGCTTTTACAATAAACTTGAAAGATAATGTCACACTCATATCCCCTCAGCTTGCCACCAGCAGTTAAAGTGTCTCCTGCTCTTATTTATGGCTATAACTCTTAGACAGAACCAGGGCACAGAAATAAAGGCAAAAAGGCTAGGGGAGGGAAAGGCAATTGGCAGAGCTCAGCCAGCGCAGCGCAGTGTTGGGCATTTTTCAAAGGAGTTTTCACTGGAAAGGACTTTATGTTAATAAGTGTGAGAGATGTGGCAGATCCCTACGGAGCACAATGCAGGGACGAGCAGCCTCGCAGCGGAACAGCAACCTGCCTTTGCCATATGCCTTTTTTTTTTTTTTTTTTTTCTTAAGCCTGCGTTTCCGGCAGCTGCCGTGTACCTTCTTCCCAGATACGTCACCTTTCCAGTGAAACACGTAAAGGCCTCGTCTCTTTTGCTCCTTAATCACCAAGCAATCTTTCCATTCTTTAAGCAAAGAAAGATAAAAGCAATACTTTATATGCTCCAGAGCTGAGGCTGGAGCTTTACTTGTGCAAGGGCTTCTTGTTACCTAGAAATGGCATCTCTATTTTACTGTGAAAGCCCTAATGCAGTCCTCTGCTTTTGCTCCATTTCAGAAGCTGTACCTCAGGTAGCATCACAGTGATGGTTAAGTGTGACCTCAGGGTGCAGCACTAACCTTGGTGCAGCCCATGTGCTGTCCTCCCCAGAGCCTGAAGGGAGGAGATCAAGGAGCTGACATATGGGATCAGACAAGAGGGACATCTAAATCATGACAGAAAACGGCACAGTGGTGAGGACCACTGGTGTTGTTGTTCTCCCTGGTGTGGCTGAAAGAGGCAGAGTCCGTATCTGTCCATCCCCATTCCCCAAAGGCATTTAGGCATGGGACTAGGACAGGAATGGGCAACAGCCTTTCCTCTTCTGCAAGGGGGGGGAAAAAAAAGAAAAAAGTGTTCCAGTGTTATGTCACTGCAGCATTCCCCAGGGAGCCAAAGCACCAGGCAGGTAGGTGCCCATCCCCAGCATTAATGAGCACCAACCACAGGGAGATGCCAGAAGCTCCCAGGGACACATCATCTTCAGTCCTGTGAGACGTGGATGTGACAGCGAGGACCTTTAAAGATGTCAGAGGAAGGAAATCAAGGCCCTGCAAATGCCAAGGCCATCAGCAGCCTAATTAATCCATCGAGGGGGATCTGCTGGGAAAGGCAGCACTAACTGCATCCTCCTGCCAGGGTGCCGAGAGGGCTGCACACCCCGGAGCAACACGCGAGTTCCTGCCCGGCTCCAAAAGGAGGTGCCGTTTGGGAAGGCAGAGATCGGCCTCCGTGGAGGGTGGAAGGCAGCCCGGGGGCTGCCCGGGCTCCAGCTCCAGAGGAGCATCTGGGAACAGGAACTGCAAAGTGCTGAGCAAGGCCCCTGCTCGTGCAGCAAGGAAGACTTGTTGCCTCATTACAAATAGGGAATTTTGCCACAACAAGGGACAGTGACAAAGTAACTTCAAGTTGTCCCCTTGCAGGGCAGCCCTATCTCTAGGCAGCTCTTTTGCCTGGCAGCAAGGACAAAGGGAAAGGGATTTTCAGAGATTTTCACCCAGCACAACACTTAGGGACAAAGACATATGCAGAAGTTTAATCTACAGATCTGTTCTTCTGACCACTGTACATGCCAGAGTCCAATTAACTCTAGTGGGAGAAAATAAATATTAGTATATTCAGGTAATAATGTACATAATCAGTATATGCTGATTCCCACAACAGAACTGCTACAATCTAATCAATAGTGAAAAACAAGCATGTGCTATTAAAAATTAAAAAATTAAGAAGCAATAAAAAATCTACTCTACACAACAGTCAACCTGAAAGAAGGGGGAGGTTGTATAAAAATGATGCAAGTTAAAGAAAATTTACAACCAATCACAAGAAATCTTGCCTAAGAAAATATTTATTAAGGACGTATTCCATGAAAACATCTATTTCCGTGCTGGTGATCTGAAAAAAATAAAAGTTCTTCTATCATACCATTGACTCTTTACATTCAGAGGAGTTGCAGTCAGATTCCTGCCTCGGTATCATTTTTGTTTTCTTGTTTCAACAAATAGAAAACAGCCCAGTGGTCAGGCTGCAGGTTACATCAAACCAGGGCAGTCTTATCAGGAGTTCAAGCATCAGGAGAAACGAAGAAAAACAAAGCAGAAAGAAAGAGCAAGATGGGACAGTTTGTACTCGTGATCATTAGACAGGAGTTTGAGCTGCATGAAGCTCTCGCATCTTGACCTGCTGGCAGAGACAGGAGGTATCTGAACAGATCCTCAGAATCCTCCTTTGGAGAGGAACGCTGCTGCTGAGGCCAGGAGGTCCTTGCTGCGATGACAGTCTCCACAGCTCCTACCTTCTCAGACAGGTTCTGCTACAAACAAGTTTTCAGCCCAGGCTGTGCAATTTCTTGAATTACCAGACAGCGGAGAGAGGGATCAGGGGAAAGCCAGGGTTCTCACCAGATTTTGTTACAAAATACGCATTAAGGACTTTACTAAAATTTCTTTAAAAAGACTTGTACAATTTGAGCATAGCTTCATCATTCAGAGAAAACAGAGTCATCTAAGTCAATTAATGTCATCAAAATTAGTTTCACAGAAAAAGCTATTTATTTTTAAAAAGTTATATTTAACTGAAGTCTAGCACCAGGCAAAAATTATAAATATTTAAGAGAAGTCAGGGAGGAGCACATTTAGAAAAAACTTCTCCACATCAACTCTCCACAGTCACTTTGAGAAGAAAAGTCCCCGTGGTCCTACACTCCTGAAACAGTCAGCACAGGCTTGTCAGTCCTGTCTGCACAAAGAGAGAGAGAGAGAGGAGGGGAAAAAAAAAAAGCTGTGGTAAGTCACACATCCATTCTAGAATTAAAAATTCTAAACCAGATCATAAAATTCAGTTCAGAAGATTCAACTCTACAAATGCCAAACCTGGTGGAGCCACTGCACAAACCCAGGCCCAGATGTTAGTGGAGAAACAGAAACAAAAACAGTCCTTCCACCTTCATTTACACGTGTTCGTTAGACACCCCTAGAGTCCCTCCAGGCAGGTGGTCTCACGACAGCTCGATCTGAAGATCCTCCCCGTACTTCCGAATCAGCTTCCCATGGTTATGGTCCACGGACCACTGCTCTGGGAGGTACTTGGGCTGCATGTTGTCCAAGAAATGTTGCCGCCAGCGTCTTTCCAACTGCATGAGGGAGCGCAGGCCTCCTTTAGCAAAACACTGCACCACCTTCAGCCCGTGGGGCAGGTAGCTCTCGTTGCAAATCCTGCCAGAACATGAGCAGAGTTTAGTGCACAAGCCCACGGGCAGAGCCTAGACCTAGCTGGAAGGAATGGCAAGATGCTGAAGGGACTCTCAGTGGTAGGACTTGCTTAACCACAGCAGCCCAGAGAGCTAACAAGGAGGGGACCTGGGCAGGAGGGTTTTATGCTCTATTCAGTGCCAGGCTGCTTTCTGGAACGGCTGCACTGGGAGGTGGATTCTTCAAAATGAGGAAGTGTTATCTTTCTGTAGCAACACCAAACACTGCTCTCAAGGAGTGTGTGTGCCTCCTGAGAGGCACACTGCAAATTTTTCAAGGCAAGAAACTTAAGTTCTCCTGAGCTCTGATCCTGCTACCAAACTGCCTGCCTGAACAGGTACTGAGGTACAACACTAGTGAGCAACAAACAGCAAAGAGGAGAACAGGAAAAATACTGTCTTTATGCAAACAGCAAAACCAGGCATTAGTTAAGAGAAGTCTTTCAGGAAGGCTTTGGGAAAGAAGTAGAGAGGAGACTTCCGGTGCATAGTTATCCTAGTTATCTTTCAGTCTGCCTCCCTCATCTGCCCTGCAAGATATGCAGAACTGTGGCAGGGACAAGGTGGGGAGCAAGAAGGGTAGGAGGTTGGAAGAAAAAGGGGTAGGAGAGGAAATGATGCCTTCCACAGACCATGGGGCAGGAAAAAAAAAAAAAAAACATAGTAAGAAATCCATGGTCTGCTTATCTGCTTACAGTGTTCAGACACAGCACAAAATACTATTCTGTTTCTCTCCTTGCCTTCTAGTTAAATGCAGCAGTGTACTATAAATCCAGACTCTGCAGGTTTGTACAAGGAATGAAGTTATCTTTTTAGAGGTAGATGAAGTTATCTTTTTAGAGGTTTTTGGGCAGACCAACTCCTAACTAGTCACTAATCCAGACACTTTTTAGCCCAACGACATTAGTTTAGCAAAGTTTACAGATATAACAAGCAGACCAAGAATGGGTTTTGTTTTAATTAAAAAGCTTAGGGGCAAAAAAGCCAGGATATGAGATCCTCGCTCTGCAAGTGCTGATGGGTTTATTTTTGTTGCCATATTAATATTTGCCAAAGCACCCTTGTGTAGAGCCCCATTTGTAGAACTTAGGTGCCTAAAAGAAATGATTAAAATCCTACAGACACCACCGAGGCCGTCATACCTGGTTTCCAGCCCCGCCGCCTCCTGGAGCATCTCCGGGGTCACTTCCTCCGTGTGGAAGAAGTCCTTAATGCCCTGCAGGAGCTGTGCCCGGCGGGGGGCGGGCAGGCTGTCCGCGTTGAGCAGGGCCCGGGCGCCCGAGCGCACCTGCCTGCGCAGCGGGTCCTCCAGCACGCGCAGCCCGTCCTCGGAGCCCACCGGGGCGCCAAACTCCTCGGCCAGCTGCTGCTTGAGGCGGCTGTCGTAGTAGTTGGAGATGGCGTGGCACGAGGTGCACAGCAGGAGCACGTCGTGGGAGTTGTGGTCCTTCATCTGCACGGGAAAGTGGCGCCGGTACTCGTGGGGAACGACGTTCTTCCTGGAGAAGACGCACCAACCGCTGCGTTAGCTTTGGCCGGAGCTGCCTCCCCCTGGTTCCTCCTCCTCCTCTGGAGGCACAGCAACTACTAACACTAACAGCCAAGGAAACAGAAATCACCAGGGTCAGGGCCCTGACTGCACTAAAAGGTTCTCCAACCTCTACTTATTCAAAGTCCATCACTTTCAAATAAAAAGCTATTCATACTGCAGAAATATGAACCAATATGCTATGGTGAACATACCTCTCTGCTCCTCATAGGGCAGATGTTCCAGGACATACCTCTCTCTCAGATGACCAGCACCAGCAGTAAAAACAATCTCACTCTTTCTGTTCTCACTGATGTCTAGCTCATCTAAACCTTTTAAAATTATAAGAAATAAACACTGGAAGAACAGTACAACTGTTCTCGGAGGAGAATGTCATCAGAACAGTGTATGTTTGCATACTGCTGCTCCCTACAAGTCAAGCTGCAACACATAAAAGTTTCCTATACTTTGTTCTCCATGGCCTACTCCCACCACCCTCTTTAAGGGGAGGCAACACTGGCCTGTTCAGTATCCAACTACCCAAATACACATGACCACGTGGCATTCAAACAGTGACAGCCCATGCAGAATATAAACACGTATGACATTTCAGGCCTCTAACTATCTCTGGATGCCAAACGAGATGCAGACTTCAGGCCTGTTCTACAAGACACATTTTCTCTTAGCCTACCAAACAACTCACCGGATGTAGGACTCCCTCTTGCCACACACAACACAGAGGTTCTCCTTGACAGTAAGGTAATAATCAACTTCAGACTCAGGGCGTCCTGAAGGCTCGAACTGCAGCTTCACAACAAATGGCTCTGTGCTAACCAGCTCTGAAAGGATAAAGCCAAATAAGTATTCAACAACAACAACAAAATGCATTTGAAAGCTAGAATCAGAATGCCAAAAGGAAGATTTCCTGAAAAACCACCAACAGCATTTACAAAAAAAGAGATACTCGAAGCCCCTGCCCATTTAACTAAGAAACATGGCAAAAAAAAGCTCTTTCTTTGCAGCACGAAGAGCGGCACACTCACCTCCAATGCCCTTGTCCAGATACCACTGAGCCTTCTTGCGATCGCAGGTGCACAGAGGCTGCCCATCTGGTGCATGCAGGAAACAGTTGTCATAGAGCGGAGATTTTCTGTGCAACAGGGATAACGCTGCAGCAACTAGAAGAGCATGCCCCAAACCCAGGGCTCTACAGCCATGCCGCCCCTGTGGCTCGGCCACCACCTCTGAATCACAGCTCTCCCCCTAAATATACACATTTTATTCAGCAGTGTAACACACAGACTGCTGCTGAGGGAAATAGAACATCGAAGAAGTTGCATCACATCTGGCTGTGAGGGATCGCTGTTACTCTGCTGCCCACAGAACTGGCAACTTTAAACCCTGTTTTTCAAAAGAAGCCGGTAATGATAACAGAAATTAAAAAAAAAAGAAATACAAAAAAATGCTACTTAGAAATGAAAAGGAGCTAAAAGAGTATGTCAGCCTAAGGACAAGGTAATTTCAAGGATCAGCTGTCCTAAGCCCATATATTAATGTCTTATTAAAAAGTTTTTTCTAAAACTTAGATGACAGCCATGTTTTCATTAATCCAAGAGAAATGATAACAACAACAAAACCTCTTAGAACACTATGATGGCAAGAGAACAAAGAAACCCATGAAGATACTAGAGACCTGCTTCTATTGAGCATCAGTAGTTCAGCTCAACCACCACATAATTCAATTAGTTCCTGACTCTGAATACGTAAGCATTCAAACTGGACATGCCTATAGAAAGGAAGGGTGGCAAAGGACTTTTGAAATCACTTTCAGACTCCTGGAGATACCAAATGAAACAGTGAGTCTACGCAGAGCTCTCTCATAAAATCAAGCTTGGTTAAAAAAAAATAAATTATTGAAGCTAGATCTCAATTTAGCATGGGATGCATTTTTGTTCAAGATTTTATTCCTCCCATGAGGAACAGTCTTTCTGTTTAGTATGACACCACCTCCCAGTAAAAATAAATAAAGGGAAATATATTTCCTGCAATACAATATTATTAGTGACTGCTAATGAATCAATATTCTTGACTCCATTAAAATGTCTCCTCTCCATTGCCAAACCAATAATTTTGAAAAGGAGAACACAAATATTGAAGTGTCATCTTTTTTTCTTTCCAAAGAGTGGCAATTACAGCCAATTAGAGTTCCTACATCTATGTGATTAAATTATATTAGATTGTGTCCAAACCTAAAAGCAAAGACAACAGTTTTCCATATCTGCTGCTGCAGCAGGCTTAGAGAGTCCTCTCCAAGTTGTTCTGATTTAAAAACAAAAACAGCTTGAGTGTCAATAGGAAAAAAGCACCACACAAATTTAGGATCTTCCCCACGTTATCTGCCCTGTTATCGAGTAGGCCGTGCTGGGCTGATCAGTTTGCCACCCGCAACACACAGAATTAAATCGCGCTCGCGGCCCTACCTGGCGGAATACCCCGCGCCCAGGGGCTTTCGCTTCTGCCTTCGAGGATCCCTCGCGTGCTGGCTGCTCGGGCCACACTTCCTGGCCCTGCCTTTCTGCGGGGAAGCCGCCTCTCCGCCCCGCTCCTCCCCGGCGCCGTCGCTCCTCCTTGCTCGGAACGGGACATCCACCAAGCCCTGGCAGCTACGCAGCGCCTCTCCCCAGGCCGCAGCAGAGCTTTCACCTTCAGACGTAGCAGGGAGGCAGGAAGACCCCAGCAAACGGAGGAACAGAGCCACGGAGACCTGCGCATCCTTAGCGGCATAGAGGACCTCGAGAAGAGTGAGCACGTTGTGATACTGGCACACAGCAAATAATCCCCAATACTATTATCTTTAGCACTAGATATAAGAAAACCAGAAGCTGGATTAATTTCCTTTAAAAGTCCACAGCAATTCTGGCAGTTGAGCGCCACGTTCGTGCCACTACAAACCCCATTTTTAGGCCCAATTTGAAACACTCAATTTCCAGTTTGGGTTCCTTCAGGAATACAAGGCACAGAAAACATTCCGAGTCAATCAGGCCTGAAATGCTCAGCAGGACCTCAAGGGCACTTGCTGGAAACTTCTCAGGCCAGCCAGCCAATCAGTCCCCCCAAGTCCTGCCTAGCTGTAAAAGGCCTCTTTCAGTACATCCTCCATGTGATTATTATTTATCCTGTCACCCCCTCTGCTGGTCACTGATTTTATAGACATCTGCAACATGATTGTTTAAAGAAACCAGGAAGCAAGACAGTCTAAGGAATGTAAACAATGTTTGCAGGAAGAGGTCTTTCTCTTCCATTGCACTGCTATGGATTGGAGGAAATAAAATAATAAAAAGGTGGTGTTTGAGGCACACAAGCACTTCCGGTGAATTGATCTGTCCATCTGGATCAAAGGAAGACAAAGCTCAAGAATCCAGGGATGATGACAAAAATGATCTTTACGGAAGGACAGGAAAACTCAGGCACAGTCTGAAATTAATGTCAGGCCAGTCACACACACCACGTTTTGAGAGAGAACTACAAGGTATCTCCAATCTCTCTATTACAATTACTCTCCTTTAATGACAAGGTTGCTCTTCCTTCCGAAACACTAAGTTGAAGCAGAAGATGTACCTGTTCTTGTGTCAGTTCTTCTGCCTCCCAGTTGCTGCAACGCAAATGAGAAGACTTGTCCAGTGGGTAGTTCAGGACTTTTTCAGCTAAAGACTTCAGGCTAAGGCAGTTGTGAAGTAGATCCTTCCTTAACAAAGAAAATGAAACAAACACATTAAAGACAAAACTAAACAGGCATGCAAACTCAGACAGGTTTGCAAACTCTTGATTCTGTCAGGGCATGATGTGCACACACTGTATAAATCCCATTCAAAAGCACTCAGCTGCTTCTCCCTCATTTCCACAAAAATGTCCTTTCTAGATTTAGTAATGATCTAACGCCTGCCACATGCCTAGCATGCAAGCATAGGGGTTGGTAACACTTAGAGCTGAAGGGTTTGGCTTTAAACTATCTCTTTCTTAAACAGAGATCTATCAGTGACCACCTTCTGAAGTATAAGGATCCAGGAATAACTCACAGGAACCCTGGCTGCTCTAGTGACCAGCAAGAGCCCAAGGAGCAGAAATGTGTCCTTGGTGCTGAAGAGGCACCAGCAGGTCAGCAGTCCCTGCTTCAGATCATCAACAGGACACCCATGCAGGCACATGTTGTATGTTGAGAAGGCTCTCGCGTAAAACGTTCTGTTTTAAGATGAATTATGACAAAAATAGTATTACAATTGTAACATTTTAAAGGGAAGCACTGCTGTTAGAAAAGAAAGTTGGAGCTGCTTTATTTGGTGACTTTTCAGGAAACCCTGTAACCCAGCAGTTCCATGCATGTCCTCCTGCCACCCAGGACTTCCAAGCAGTCACAGAGCAACGACCGTGACGGCGCTGCCGCGAGACACTCACCGCTGCCTCGCGGCTAAACACCGCACATCCACACACCCTCTGACGGCCAGGCCGTAGTCCTGAAGCAGCCTGCAGGCATCTTCCCAGCATCCCACCCCGACTTTCAGAACGGTGCTATCTGCCATGATGTCCAGCAGAGTCTTCGGGAGAGGCTCTCCGCTGGCAACAAGCCTGGGCAACCGCACGAGCACGCACAGGCCGCTGCAAGAAGCAATCTGCAGGAGGGACACGGGATTTGCTTTTCCTTCTGTGGATACCTGCAGGGGTGGGGGAAAGAGAGAGAAAAAAAAAGCAGATTTCAGGTCACACTGTTTGTAGCAGTACCAAGGCTGGAAGAAAAAGCAACAAAAGTGGATATAGAAGACAGGAAAAACCTACCAGACCACAGAGTCAAATGTTGTTAGATGAGTCTAACTTTAATTGACATTTTATGGCTTGTTTCATAATATTACTGCCCATCAGCTGCTTCTTAAGAGCTTCTACCAGGGAAATTTCCCCCTTTACCTTCTAGCCAAGCGCTAGGAGACCTGCTTTTTAATCCACACCAGCACCAAGCAAACCTCTGTACAACTCTTCCTGGCAGACCCTGCTTAACCGTGGCTTACGCTAATGAACACAGGGCCATCAAATATCCAGCCAAACTACTGGCGAAGATAGGCTTTACACTTGGCTCAAATCCCATCCGGAAAGCTCACGTGGGCAAGCACGGAAGGGGAAGAGAACACGGCTTTCCGGGTGGTCAGCTATTTTCTATGGACATATCAGCACTATCTTCCTCTGGGGCTCCTATCTAACATATACATATATGTTTCCTACACACAGAGGAAGATTAGAAACGGTGCAAATCCAAACTATTTTTGCTGCATCACCTCGGGAGCGATATTCCAGAGGACACGCAGCGCACGAGGGCCATGACCGCGGCTTCCCCGCGGAGCCCGCACTCACCCACTCGCAGTCGAGGCCCAGCACGGGCCGCGCGCGCAGCTCGTCCCTCAGCAGCGGCTCCAGGGCCTCCCACTCGCCGCGCCGCGACACGAGCACCACGCGCGGCGGCGGCTCCG